CGCGCACACACATACGTTAAGTCGCCGCATATGTTTTACATAGCAGTTGCCTACAGTTGCGTAACGATTCCAAAAGAAACATGAGTATTGGCAGCACCAGAAGCGTGAAGCTGACATGAACCACTGGTGTTTGCGCTGTTGCGCGCTTGGATGGTAGCCCTCAACTCTGCTACACAAATCAACTTTAGCGGATGGCGCCTAACTACAATTTACGTTAACGTGACAAGATGGCTGTATCATAGGTGTACATATGTAATATATATAATATTGGATAGCCAGTACTGCATAATAAATAGGACAATTGAGGTTACACGAACATTAGGGTCTATATGAACACTCCTGAAGAAGACTACAACTATAGCATATAGACCAAGTTATACATTTAACAGAAAAGTATACTGTAACAACAATGTGTCGTTGTTCATGCACTCGAATGTCGGTGCATAAAGAAAAGAGAGACAGAGATGTTTATTTATAGAAAGGCATAGAGGCCACCCTGAGCGATAGAATGCTCTAGCCTGCTACTCTACCCCGGGGGGAGAGGAAATGTTTGTGTTATGAAGTTCAACCAGCCAATGATTTCATGTCACGTAGCTCTTAATCATCCAGCAAAATTTTGCCATGTCTGAATAGCACGAGAAAACTGCAATAAAAGTAACCACAGAAGCGCAGACCCTGATATCCCATCTGCTGAGAACCCTGAGCACAGAAGCATTCTTCATCGCTAGTGACCCTGCAAAAAAGCAACATGACTATCAATAAAGTGATGTAGAATCTATAATGTATAATCCCTGCCGCTGCATTGTGTACACGTGTCTCCTTGAACGATCCAAGCGAAACCTGTCAATTCAGGCTCATGGCGTGATCACGAACATTCCAGCCACACAGGCAACTGCAGAGCTCCGTGTAACATAAGCACAGTGTCTCCACGTGGTCCGCTTAAGCGGGGCAAGCCCGACCAAATAGAGGGTGCGTGACGTCAACCCCGCAGAGGAGTCTTGGTTGGGCACTTCTTTTGGGACCATCAGGCCTTTCTCTCCTGCCGACCAACCCCATCTTCTTCAATATCGTTATAACACGAAGCTTTTCGCCGTTCGATGATTGCGTGTCTGGAGGGTCTCAAGTAGATAGCGAAAATGAAAACTAAGGCCCGGCGTGCCCCGTGCTAAAAATAGTTTCGCGGTGAACAAAAGTGAAGGTCTTATCGCAAGTGGCAACCAAAGCGGTCACACGTGCCAGCAGTCCGCCGGGGCGTATAACATTGAACGGCCTCGGCAGATACCTCATCAGGCGCGTTTCCCGGTGGCTGCAGAGGGTAAGTAAGCCCAGATTCAGGCCAAGCAGGAGATCGCAAAGTCAATAAGTGCTTGCCGAAAGGGGAAGCATGACACACGTCGTCGCGATCGTTGTCCGATCGGTTTCCGATGCGCTCCACTGCGCTGGCGCAGTTCGGTCTGTCCAGTACGGTCGTTGTTGCATCAAGTCTGGGCGTGTGTGCTCAGCCCGATCCATGAGTGTCGCATGCCGCTTCTAATCGGGCATTCATCTTGCTATGAAACTAGACTGGATCGCTATATCGCTGTTCCACGAGTCCTTTCTTTTTCTGTCGTTGTCGTTGAAGACGTTTTGAGAAAAGAGGGGAAAATAAAAATAAAAGAAGAGTAGTCCCTCCTGCACGCCGTAACAACTTCAGTACAACTCCTTCCTACAAAATCCTACTTTGCATTGATGCGCAGCGCTCGTTATTGACAATGCCCTTTGTTTAAAGCTCCATTATTCGCTTTTACTTCTTGAAAGCACATTTTACGAAACTACCTCGCGTGGAGCGATAGAGCACGGCATTCAATCGTGAAAAATGGACAGCCGTATTGTACACTAGGCAGCACGTTTAGACCAGCACAATCGACAAGGTCTCGCTCGATTGTCAACGACTAACTACCCTCGTTAAAAAAAAGTTCTCGTGGTCCGATATGAGCTGATGATGATGCTGAACTTACTGATCTCTGCATGTTAAAATTATTTTACGGTTTTTTTTTTCTGAGTTACTTCAGCGACAGTGGTGGTTAGGCGAAGATCGTGGACAATACACACGTTAGTGGGACGATATGAAAGCAAACCTACTTTGCGAAACTCCCCGAATCCTTTCAACCATGCTGCTCATTCATGGCCTGTTTTCTTAGACGCCAACATATCGAGAAATCGAACCTCTGCGATCTTTACAAATAGTGTGCATCCACTTAAAGACGTACGTCGGTTTCTCTCTTTAGGAAGCGGGGGGGAGGGGGGGCAAGGGGAGGGATTTTACTGCTGTGCGTCCCCTCCCCACTTATCCTATCACATTCTTACGAAGGCCCTTATGATTGGAATGCGGTAAAAATACAAAACGTTCACCCCCACCCACCCCTCTTTCACGGTCTGTGTTCATTCATATGCCTCTACTTTGGCTGCAAGAAGAAATAATGGAATGGTAAAGCTGGACTTTGCATGTGCTTTCTAAAAAGATTAGAGGCGGTTATGAGAGAGGAAGCTCTAGAAAAGATGGCCTTGCGCTGTACACACATCGGGCTGCTGCTGCCGGCCTACGCATCAGTGACGTCGTGGTCGCTCTCGTGGGTCCCTCCGAAAAAGGCCAGACGCTCGAAAGAAACGCCACTTAATCATTGTCAGCTTCCTCATAAGTAACTAACCAATACGGTTACGCTGAAATGTGCTTTAGTATTCCCTGAACGAAACATGAAAGAGTGACAGAAAGCGCAGAACGAAAGGGCCCTTTCAGAAAGCGGGTGGGGGGAGAAGCTTTATCTATGTCAGATTATAGGATAACTTTTGTGCCATTCCCTTCCTCTTAGGTGGCTAGCGGGCACGCCAAACCCCCTTTTTGTGCCCACCTGTGGTCGCACCGAAAGCAAAATGATTCAGACATGTTGCGAAAGGAAACTTTCGGCATGCACAATACATCATCACACGTTGTACCGACTGCTATTTTTTATTGCTATCACTTGTCGTGTATAATTATGGCCAGAAAAAATTCGCAAAAATAATAAATATACAATGGTCTCCATCCACAGCTTGAGCGTGTATGTATGCTTACAGCGTTTATGCAGTACGCTTGTGTATCGCGTTTCTCTCAAGTTGTGTCCATGTGATTTGCCAAGATAACAAGTGGTGTGTCGGTTAAGCTATCAAACTATACAGGCGACAGTCTGGCATCCTTTGGCACCGTGTGAGTCTTATTCCACTGCACAGCACTCAACAATGATTCTTTATCATCATCGGCCACGCGCAGCAACAACATAGTGCACATATTACTTTACAAATGTGGAGCGGACCAATGGCGTATCCGCTGAAAGACTAATAATGACATAATAGATGCCTTAATACTTAAGAAAAGTTATGATTTATGGCATAGCGGAAACCTTGCGGAAATCCAAAGCTTAAAACAGAGTTGTCTTTGCCCTAGCACGAAGCTGTGCTCAGAATTCACAGTAGGGAGTAACGCAATCATTGGTGACTTCTTTTTTAGGAGCTTGGTCGGGAAGCTTCTATTTTTCTCGACTTGTCCGGAGGCGGCTGTCGGCGTGTACACCTCTGTTGCCAGTTTACTCTTTTCCGGTTGCCGCCAACAGTGTCCTCTCTGGCAATTCCAGCAATGCTCAATTGAGGGCATGTCGCCACTCAAGGCGCCGGTTTTCAGTGGCCCGAGCACTCGCCTTCTGGTGACTACGTCGATATCGTTCTCGTCACTACGTAGACACGGCAGCACGTAACAAGTTCTTATGATAAGTGTTACGCTAGGGTACTGATATCAACCGAAGCCCCTCACCTGCCTGCTCTCAATCGTAACTCCTGATAGATCCACGTCTGTATTTAAGAGAGTTAGGCATTTCACTCATGACAGCGGTCAGTACGACACAAAGGGCAACCAAAGCGGTGCAGATCAATGTGGCAACACTGTGCAGTGCCGGGCGTGGAACGTGCCAACCACACTGCCTTCAAAGTGCACATTCTGCGCCGGCTCGTTAACGAGCATTTCTAGAAAAAAAAAAGGTCTCGCCGATAAACGCCCCATGCACCTCCGAGCAAGCTCCTCAAACATAATTCTTTTTGCGGATATGGTGGCGATGTTGTAAACATGATATTCTTTCTTGGGGACCTTCGACGCAACAATTTTGGTCTGTCTGTCTGCATGTCTGTCTGCCTGTACTCTTGTCTGTTTGTCCACTCCTAATCGCACCGGGTACTTGAAACGGCCAACCCCATCCGCAGCGCCCACCAATGTTGCTCAAGGTTTAGCATTCATACTTGTGCAATCGCCAATTAAAAAGCAATTATTTCGAATGTCTGGGACACCATAACAACACATATATATTCTGCACGTGCGCCTTTTACTAGAAAAAGCATAGATAGGTAACTTTAAGTACCGTACCACTTATCACGCTGCGCTGACCATTCAACGCTTGCACGAAAAGGGGAGTGTTTCCAACGCTTTGCTAAGACGAGACGGTGGTGGCACCTACTGGTGGCATTGCGTTCTACACCTTATAACCTCTGAGATGGGCGCGCACACTTGTCTCAGAGCCACGTGGGTCGTTTTCCAAGAAAACTGCCAGATGGCGCTCATGTCTCGCGTGTGACGTGACTTGATACGCTCGTTCGCCTCCGCTGCACGCTCAAGGCACTCTAACGCAGCGCCTCCAGAATACCATTCACCAATTTTCTTGCACAGAACATCAAATAAATGTTTTGTTCACTCCTTCCACACGCAAGACTATCGTCTTTCGACGACATTTGCTGATTAAAATGCAGATACGGGGCCAATCTTTAATATCGAATGTTTCAGAGCCTCCTATTGTTTTGATTTTGCATGCGTATATGGTAATTATGCGTGAAAATGCAACATTTGTTTGTCGAGTTCACGCAAAACTTCCTGTTCACCGACGCCTGAAAGATACACCAGGAGTCATCACACGTTTCTTTCTTTCTCTCACTCTTTCTCGCAGTGATTCTAGAGGAGTTCGAGGCGCACGTGCACGATGACTACGTGCCACGGGGCAATACTGCGCTCTTCCGCTGTCACGTTCCCAGCACGCTGCGACAATACCTCAGTGTCTCATCGTGGACCACAGAAGACGGTCTCGTCATCGGAAGGCATGAGACGCAATCGCGTGAGCATTGTTTTATTTCATATGACCTTGCACGTACAAAGCGTTCTTGGCCTAAAGGAGTCATATATTAATCGCACACATTTATAGCCTACCTAAAGGTAATATAAAATGTTATAAATTAGTCAACAAAATATGAACGAAGATAAGCGTTTTGAGATGGTAGCATGTCACACCGTTTCTCAGCGGTGGCCGGGCGTACTGCAGCACTCAGTTTGCCAAAGTATTCCCTGCACCAAAACCAATTACACAAACATATTTCAAACCACATACGCTAGCTACTTGCTAGAACATCCATGAAGGAAGAAGAATTACAATGTTCCCTAAATGATCCCTAAGTGGGTCTCGGGATATTTGATATTTGGCAATACTGGGCCTCACGGAGGGCGTGGTCATAACCCAGGAATGGTTTGGCGTGAACCTATCTCGAAATAGTGTAAACGCGAAGCTTAAGTGTAAATAAACAAGTTTGGCTCATTCTTCATAATCATTCATAGCCTGAAGTTTTTTGTCAAGCTTGAAATTTGTCATTAAATCGTTAGTTGAACGAAAGCGTAGTCACAAAAGAAAACTGTGTAACTGTAAGCAAACTAAACCATTTTACGTAACACATAAGGACGCCACCTCTTTAGATTGTTGAAACGACTATATTTTGTTTTTTTTACTTCGTGAAGTGAAGTAATAAGGTCGAATGCACCAACCCAACCAAATTCATGCATAAGCGTCTACCACAGACTGTTGGTTCAGTTGTTTTTATTTACTTAAATTTTTCTTCATTGAGGTTTAACGTCCAAAAACTATACGATATAACTGAAAGATGCTTTAGTGAAGGGCTCCGGAAATGGCGACCCTCTGGGGTTTTTTATCGTGCACCAGCATCTAAGCAAAGAGGCCTAAAGCCTTTTCGCCTTCATCGAAAACGTGGTGGCCACGGCTGGGATTTGATTCTATGACCTTCGCGCCAGCAGTCGGGCAGCATAACTCTTCTGCCACTATGGAGGATGATCGTTTAGTTTCTGAACGTACAAAACAACAATAATAGCAGCCCAAATAGGTAGCACCGAAAACCCAACCACATGATATTCTATACATGAACTACAAAAGGAACAAGAAAAACGCACCACTCACGAGACTTAATTGTCTGTTGTTGTTTTTTTTTTGTAAAATCAAAGTGAGCCGTTTTTTATCTATATGGCACCACGATGAATCACTACACTTGCGAGGTTTCATCCTTATCGATAGGAGCTCATACGCAGTGTCGAGATGGCGGTGATTTCATGCGGATCGCGACGACAATAACCTGACAGCGCAGTGGTGTATAGTTGCGCACATTCATATAAAGCAATGCCGGACCCACTGAAACGCGCATGCGTCAAAGCAACGCAGCGCGGCAAGCGCCTGCGAGTATATGGCAGGACCGGTGCCTCACGTGGCAACGCTGTCGTGACGCGTAGAAATGAAAGCCGGCAAGCACGCGAACCACGTCACGTCGAAATATATTGGCGCCTTGACTGTGGCACGTAGTCATGTTCTCACATGACACGCATCTTATAATTGTCATGTTTGCACCAGTCCCATGCTTTCGTCAATAATTCACGTACTGTAATACCAAATTTGGTAATTGTGACGCTAGCGAAAGAGCCACGAGCGCATCATAAGCGTGGCATGTAGTCATGTTGTTACTTGACCCGCATGTCATAATTTTCATGTTAGGGTCTGTCGCTTGTGTTCGCCATGCAATCATATATCAGTTTTGCAACATGCCATGTGAACGAAACCACCGCAAGAGCTGCAGGACTGTGATATGTAAATTATGACACACGTGTAATTAATTTCATCCTATGACTAGTCAAATATGTTCCTCATACAGTCATGTTACGCCATACCAAGTTTGGTATCGATACCATTATTCAAACGGCCAGGAGAGCTAAAAGTCATAGGCGGCTAGATAGATAGACACAGTGTGGCATGAACCCGGGTCCGCTGGGTGCCAGCTGAATATTCTGCCGATGAGTTACGCCGGTGCTTGTATCTCATTATCTAACTTGCCTTAGGCACGCATTACCTAGCACCAATAGCTCAGTGGGGCTCGAACCCGGATCCGCTTGGTGCAAGCCCTGTATTCTGCCTCTGAGCTACTCCGTTGCTTGTGACTTCTTGTCAAACTTGCCTTAGGCAGGCTTGATGTCGGGAAAGCAATTGTGGTAATACGACTTATGAAGTGTTTTACAATAGCGAAAGAATAACCAGTCGTCGCACTTTGCGAATAGCGTAACGAGTGGGCCATCCAACGCTCCAAACCATCACAAAAGCTTGTTCTTGTTCCCCTGTTAACTATGACGCATACCCACTTCAGCCAAAACTCCTCATCATCGACAGCCGCTCCATGGACAATTGGCACAAAATTCCTTGGAACTGTTTAGCGGATACCACGCGTCTGAGAAGAATGACGAAAAATAGCATAGCGAATGCCGGCGTACTACCCAAAAGTTTATTAATAATCCGTGGTGGGTACTAAGCAAGTGTGCTTGCAGTACTTACCAAATGAGTAATTTGAAAAGGCTCTGAAAGGCCGCTCTTCTAGCTTTCGATCTGACTGTGCTGTGCCTACCACGCAAACCTGGCGTTTCTTTTTCGCAAACGCCTTGCGCTTTTGCCGTAACGAGTGATAGAGAAACGTTTCGCGAACGCCATCGCGCCATCAAGACCGGAATCTCTTTCTACTCGTGTCTAAAAAGGCATAAATCAGTCCTATTACTTTGTGTCTGGCTTGCAGTGACATCAGTGTACCACATCGTGCGTCATTCTTTCTCAAGTGCGTGATTAGCCCATACGTGTAAAACTATGAGGTATGAAACAAGGATTGCGCATGTTGTCTGGTGATTTCGCTTCAATGGAGAAGTTGTGTTTTGTGCTACGTGCAAGGACGTTCGGCGCTATTCATGGGCCCGTGTGCTTTAGGCTATACTACAGCGTTTCTTTGTGTTCTGACTCCTTTGGACAAGATCACAATCGTCGAGACACTTGCTCCAAAATTCGTGTTGCCCTAATCGGTTGAAAGTGCCAGCTCTATGTTCTAACGTTGCTTCAGGCGGTGGCTGCGCTAGCCGCCTACTCATCCGTAACTGTGTGCGCTCAACACACTCTCACACGCAACACGCGGAACGTCGTGAACTTGCATTTCTTTTACAGAACTTGGGTGAACGAAACGGCCAAAGCAGAGTCCTGGATTGCCCGAAGTCATTAGCGTTAACTTAAACAGGCCCTGGGCCTAAAGCATTGTTTTTTTTTGCAGGTGTTTCTTTTATTTGTGATACTGTATATACCTGTATAGTTAAGGCAGTCAGACTGTTGTTTCTTTTTATTTTATAGTTCTGAAAGAAGCGTTAGATAGATCCCAACGCACCGCGCAGTATGCTAATTGGTACATTTTGAAGAGCCGTTCCTCCTACTTGTTTGCCTGTCACCGCAATGTGCAAGTACGACATAAGAGCAAAATAATTTCGAACCACTTACTTTAAACGTTTTGATAGCATGTGTCTCAGGTGTGGAGATGCAACCGCATGTAGCTGGTTTTTATGTTCAGTACATTTTACCCAAACCAACCGACCAGCCAAGTGACCTTATGAATGAAAAAATAACCAGCCGTGAGCAGGAATTGAACCTACGACCTTCGAATAACGTGTTCGAGCTCTTTGACCGATGTATTTTAAAGCCTCTACTGCAGCGATATTAAGAATATTAGAGCTACTTTATATAGACTGCTGTTGGTTAGTCTTAAATAGCAAACCTTGCTTTGGTACAGCTTATCTCTGAATGTGGATCACAGCTATATGGGTAGCTGCACCTTCGTGACGTGATGGAAGAAATGATAAGAAGCAAGTGAAGAGTTTTCATTACAAAACGCAAATGTTTATTCAGGACCAATGTAGTGAGTGATTCTTATCGAAAGACCATTTACGGTATGGATTTCTCTGAGCGCGAGGTATTTTTGGCGGCATAGGAGCCGTATCATATCAACGATTCCCTAGACGGTGCTCGTGGTACGCTACACGGCAAATACTGAAGCACTCTTGTACTTCTTCGATATCACGATGGCCTATAAAAAGTGCACAAGATGCTCCTGTACCGTCGAGATGACCCATTTACAATCACTAATATTTATATAGTACAGACTGAAAGAAAAAAAGAAGAGGTGGGTTAAGCAAACACATGCTTGTTCAGCCACTAGAAACACGATTTGTAACTGGGGATAATAATGCGTTCTTGCCACTAGACCGAACTTTTTGTCAATGGTAGGCTCGTTTACGTTACCAATCTGGGTATCTATTACGTCTTCTCATACTGGTTTCCTATCACTGATCGCTTTCGCAAACGGATTAGCGCAGGTCACGGTCGACAAATAGTGTCCGACCGCAAAGGTAAACACAGAAAAATTAAAAAAAAGGTTGTGAACAAGGCTCTCGTGTATAGATCCGAGACGTCTGTTTTGGTCGGTGTTTTTGTTTTTGTTATATTGGCCCTTGTTTGTCCACGACCATACGGGATTACATCGGACTCGACTGGATTCGCGCCTACTTGGAATCAATCATAATTGTAGGGGTTTAACATCCCAAAACCACCATATTACTGTGAGAGGCGCAAGAGTGGAGGGCTCCGAAAATTTCAACCACCTGAGGTTCCTTAACTTGCACCTAAATCTAAGCACACGGACCTCAAGCATTCTCGCCCCCATCAAAAATTCAGCCGCCACGGCTGGTATTTGATCCCACGACCTGTGGGTCAGCAGCCAAATGCCTTACCCACTGGTATACCACGGCAGCTTTTAGATATAACTATGGGTACAAAAATCACAGCACATCCACGCACTAGATGAGTGGGGTGAAGCATCCATCAGTCCGTCCACGACTCCATACGTTCATTGGTTCTTGCTTCCGACCATCCATGCGCCCGTCCATGCGTCCGTCCGTGCGTCTATCTCTGCGTTCGTCTGTGCGTCCGTC